CAATATATTTCAATGCAACCCTCTGMTGGGAAGCCTTGGGTGGTTTTTATTTAGAGGCTATTTCAAAAATGCTGTTGTGTTGGATTTTCTCCCAAAAACAGATAAAAGAGTTGTAAAATTTCAGCACATATCTGTTTGAAATATTCATTACAGGCTGAAATGCAACTTGTAGATTTCTCTTGTTTGTTTGTTTGTTTGTTTGTTTGTTTGTTTGTTTGTTTAAACAATAAACAATGTTCTGAATAGTTTTTTTAGATAACTAGTTAGATCTCTTTTATCCAGGTGAAGTGCAATGTTGTTACATGTATCTCTGTGCTGCAGATCAGCAGCTGCCATGTTTTCATGAATGACTGTGATCATTAACATTATTATCAAGTCTATTTGGATCAAAACAAGAATGTTAATAAGACTCAAATTAATTTTAGTTTACTGAATTTTTTAAAGTTTCTTTTGTTTAAATATTTTCTGTACCGTTGCTGTGTCAGGGGTGGAGCCAGAGGGGTGGGAAAACCTGATTGGCCACATCTTTCAATGCCACATTAACGCATCACTGCATGTGACAATTAGATTAGAAGATTGAAAAGATAGTTTAATAAACTTACATATTCTACTTGTCAAAATTTGAGACATAAGTGAATAAAGACTATTTATATAGTACCTTTGATCAATATGTCACAAAGTACTTCACAATCAAAGCAAGAAAAAGTAATGAACACACAGCAAAATACATAAAAAACATTCAAAAAATGTTTKAAATACATACTTGTTGGTTTGCATGTTGTTTTTGTAAAGACACAAATATTTGAAACCATTTTAATACCATATTTTTTGTTAAATAAAATCTTGAATGCATTTAACTCATAGATCTCCATGCAGTATGCTTTAGTTTGCTCAAAATGTGTGAGTCACATTTTTAATGTAAAGAGTGGGGTCACTGATAAYAACTAACATTAGTGTGTGTGTAAGTAAGAGAAAAAGAGACAGACAAAGATGGCTAAATAAATATAAAAATCCAYATGAGTATCAAAAAGGTATGATAGTTCAGGAAACAGAATAGATTCCATTATTTGCATGTGTCCCTCTGTAAACACGAGGTCATMTTTTGCATAAAATTCTAACTCCACTACTGTGCTGTGTGTGGGATTTTCCATGTTTTGTGTGTATTTTAAATTTCTATATCACACCTTTATATAGTATAACAATGCATTTCTTTTTTAAAACATTGACCAATAATTTCCCAGGCAAACATATTCTGAATAACAACTTGTATTCATGTCAGATCTTGATGATTTTGGCTTTGAGGTTTGGGTGAGCTGGGTGTATCTTGGTGGGTGTGTCTTGTATGAATAACTTAAAAGGTCTATGAATCTTTTATTGAAAATTATTCTTCTTTTATTTTTTCTTCTTTTTTGTTKTTTTTACAGGGATTCTATCAAATAAAATCTTGCCTGACAGACCAGAGGGTAAAATATGAACAACTTATTACTTTGAACATTCTTTCAATTTATGATTTAGGTCAGTTCTTGAGAATTTATTCCCCGGAGCTCAAACRTGCATAAATGCTGCTTACATTTATTCACATGCTGCTATCTCCATGACCTGCCTGAACTGAAGCAGGACAGATAGTGGAGGGCTGTAAATGAGACGGCTTTAGAAAATGGAGTAAAAACAGTGAAATGAGTCAGAAACAGCATGAAGAGAAAGAAGGGGAAAGTCAGAAGTCATCAAATTCTAAAAATGATGGCATACTGAGTTTCATAAACTGGTTGCTCATTTTCAAGGGCATCAGAGAGAACTTCTCACTCTTGCATACAACAGTTTTTATGCATGTGAGAGGCAGGGACATTTAGCTTTATCTGAGCAGACCTAAGCACCACAGCAACGGGCAAACGTCCAAAATGTGGAAGCAGTTTGTCACTAGCAACAAACATGCTGCCACCCACCTGGCATGGAGATAGATGGAGATCAGTTAAGTGGTGGGCAAGAGGTGAAAACCAAAGAAAGCAAACACCAGTGGGTAGCCAGAAAGAACTCAACAGGTCAGCCAAGTGGGAGGAAAACGAAGACATTTGACAAGCGAGCTGTTATAAAGTTTTGCATTTTTCTTTTCCTTTTTTGCTGCTTGTGAGAACCAGTGAGGACCCAAGCGGTGGGATGGCTGACATCCACTGTAAAGCAATTAAAGGCCCTGCTGGTACACCAGGGCTCCTCATACATTTGAAGACTCTGACAGGAATACACTGGAGCTGCTGGGTCACTACAACCTGCCACAAGAGCTTTGTGCTCCCCTGACATCTGGAACTCTAATAGAGGGGAAATCCACCATTCCTCCAAAATGTTACTCCTTCATTTACAGATTTGATGACAGTTTTAGAAAGCACAATCGTCCTGATCGCCTGTTGGCATTGCCATCTGGGTCTGGTCAATTTAAATTTCACTTACAGTAGAAGAATGGAGAAGAAAAATAACTTTGTCACTCAGTAGAAAAATTCACACKGTTGAAGCAGCCAACAAATAAACCAGTAAGCAAAGAAACATTGTAGGAAGGAACACTGTATACAAAAGGAGCAAAACTCAAAGTAAAACAACAATACGTGAATAAACTATGGAATAATGACTTCAAATGGAATTTTGTGCACAGATGATGAACATTCAAGGTCTTATCTGATGTATGTTATCCTTTAAAACACTCAAAATAATATGGTGTCATTTAAAAACAGCTTCAGTTTCAAAAAGATTTTAGCTTCTCACATTTAAAATTTTATTGCATTGCTATCAAATTCACATTATTTWGTTATTTCAACAGAAAAGTCATGATATGTTTGCTGGAAGTGGAACAGACTGCACCATGAGTGCTACAGCTAGCTGCTGCTGAAATTTGTTTCCGCAAATAACCATAGAATCACGGGTTAGTAATCATGAGCAGCAAACGGAGAGTGATGTAAAAATATATAAAATAGTGTTTGTATAAAATGATAGGAATTTTTTTCCTTTTAGGATTAAAGTGATCCACTTTGGCCTTGGCTATTAATTCAGACTTCCTGTCATTCTCTTTTATCCCAAACTGAAGCTGTACAAAGAGCTASATGAGATACTTACTGTTCTTTCCCTTTTCGCAGAGCCCCCACTTTAAAAGATCTTGATTWTTGCTTTACAGACTAATGCATGTTATGTATCAATTCTTCCAATGACAAAATGCCACAAAGTTTTGAAAACCATCTTAATTTGATTACAATTTTTTTTACAAAAAAATCCTATATTACTTGTGCACAATATCAAGAGATAATGTGTTTAACAAACACAAAACAATATTAAGAAAAAAATCCTGATGTCAACCCAATATTGACATGCTCAAAAATTTTCACTGAAACACTGTTTAAAAACATAACTCAAGTTTTTTTTCATAACCAATAACATGTGATTAATGTGATTTCATGCAGCTTTCTTTCCYAATTGTCGTAATTTGTCTGTAGAAACTTCTGGTCTCTTTTTTAAAAGAAAATTGAAAGTTTCAGGTAAAAGACCTTTGTCCTTCATTTAATTTTATTAATTTATTATTTTTAAGTGATAAAAAAACTGAAAATGTCCTTGTAGATTCTATTTTTCTAATAATGTATCATCCTTTAGATAGATCAGTGTTTCCCAAAGTTGGGGTCGGGACCCAAAGTGGGGTCC